TTTGCCTCATTGACTTGTATTCATTCTTTCTTATTTCTGGGGACCCATGGTCTGGAAGCAGACGACTTCACTCTTTAAGGCCAACTTGGGTACCAACTCTTCTTTAACCAATCACTGATGCTATTGTGTGGATCTGAAGCTGAAACCTTCTTTTTCTACAGTAAGTTAACCAGTTTAGGGGAGATGATGGGGACATGCTGCCCTCCAGTGTTGACAAGCTGGAATTATACTTAAGTTCTGTTAAACTATTCTTATCTCATTGAAGCTGACTGTTTATGTATTGAGGAGTTTTATCATCATCCAGTGGTGCTGATGAGGTGGGGAGTTGCTGTCTTCCAGTAGGAAGAGAAGGAGGAAAGTTATAATATGTAGCAGAAACAGTTCTTGAAAATTATTTCATAATAAAATGCTATCAATTTCCCTTGTGCAATAGAGGAATCCACTAAGTCTTTTACTCGTTTTATTTGGCTAAAAACACACGTAAAGCCCTGTTTATGAAACAAGACGGTACCAGTGTATTCCCCAGTAAAACAGGGACAAACAGAAACTCACTTTTTGTGACACTTGTGTTTTGTGCTGCACCAGAGGAAAGCTCCTCCTTGAACCGTCACCTTATCGTGGTGGAGGAGTTTGAGTGCCCTAATGATCTTAGGAGCTATGTTGTCTGGGGCACTTTGTGCCCCTGGTAGGGTCTCCCATGACAAATTGGTCTTAGGTGAAGGGTGAGACAAAGAATGGTTCACAGGATCTTTCATGGATGTAAATTCAAAGAGTCGGAGTACCCGGCCCGGAGGGTTACCGGGGTCCCACCCTGGAGCCAGGCCTGGGGTTGGGGCCCGTGAGCAAGCACCTGGTGGCTGGGCTTTTTCCCATGGGGCCCGGCCGGGCCCAGCCCGAACCAGACACATGGGCTCATCCAACTGTGGACCCACCACCCGCAGGAGGAACATGAAGGGTCCGGTGCAATGTGGATCGGGTGGCAGACCAAGGCGGGAGCCTTGGCGGTCCGATCCCCGGACAAGAAAACTGGTTTTTGGGACATGGAACATCACCTCGCTGGCGGGGAAGGAGCAGGAGCTTGTGGCAGAGGTTGAGCGGTACCGGCTAGATATAGTCGGACTCACCTCGACACATAGCATTGGCTCTGGAACCCAAGTCCTTGAGAGGGGTTGGACACTCTTTTTGGCTGGAGTTGCTCCGGGTGAGAGGCGGAGGGCTGGGGTTGGCTTTTTGTTAGCCCCAAGACTCTCTGCCTGTGTGTTGGGGTTTACCACGGGGGACGAGAGGGTAGCTTCCCTGCGCCTTCGCGTCGGGGAACGGGTCCTGACTGTTGTTTGTGCTTATGGGCCAAATATCAGTTCAGAGTACCCACCATTTTTGGAGTCCCTGGGACGAGTGCTAGATAGTGCTCCATCAGGGGACTCCATTGTCCTGCTGGGGGACTTCAATGCTCACATGACCTGGAGGGGGGTGATTGGGAGGAACGGCCCCGCCTGATCTGAACTCGAGTGGTGTTTCGTTATTGGACTTCTGTGCAAGCCGCAGTTTGGCCATAACGAACACCATGTTCGAACATAAGGATGCCCATCGGTACACTTGGTACCAGGGCAGCCTAGGTCGCCGGTCGATGAAAGACTTTGTAGTATCATCTGATCTGCGGCCGTATGTTTTGGACACCCGAGTGAAGAGGAGAGCGGAGCTGTCAACTGATCACCACCTGGTGGTGAGTTGGATCAAATGGCAGGGGAAGATGCCGCGTAGTCCTGGCAGACCTAAACGCATAGTGAGGGTCTGCTGGGAATGCCTGGCAGAAGAACCTGTTAAGACGGTCTTCAACTCCCACCTCCGGCAGAGCTTTGACCGCGTCCCGAGAGCAGTGGGGGACATTGAATCCGAGTGGCCTTGTTCCACTCTGCGATTGTTGAGGCGGCTGTTGCTAGCTGTGGTCGCAAGGTGGCCGGTGCCAGTCGTGATGGCAACCCCCGTACCCGCTGGTGGACACCAGAGGTTCGGGGAGCCGTCAGGCTGAAGAAGGAGGCCTACAGGGCGTGGCTGGCCTGTGGGTCTCCGGAAGCAGCAGACAGGTACCAGATAGCCTAGCGGGGTGCAGCAGTGGCAGTTGCCAAGGCAAAATCTCGGGCGTGGGAAGAGTTTGGTGAGGCCATGGAGAAACTATCGATCGGCTCTAAAGAGATTCTGGCAAACTGTCCGTCGCCTCAGGAGAGGAAGGCAGCAACTCGCTCACACTGTTTACAGTGGGGATGGGGAGCTGCTGACGTCAACTGGGGCTATAGTCGGGCGGTGGAAGGAATACTTTGAGGAGCTCCTCAATCCCACCTATGCGCATTCCGAGGAGGAACCAGAGCCGGGAGACCTGGGGATTGACTGCCCAATCTCGGGGGCAGAAGTTGCTGAGGTAGTCAAACAACTACACAGCGGCGGAGCCCCGGCGGTGGATGAGGTTTGTCCTGGGTATCTCAAGGCTATGGATGTTGTAAGGCTGTCATGGTTGACACGTGTCTGCAACATTGCGTGGTCATCGGGGCAGTTCCTGTGGAGTGGCAGACCAGGGTGGTGGTCCCCATCTTTAAGAAGGGTGACCTGAGGGTGTGTTCCAGCTATAGGGGGATCACACTCCTCAGCCTCCCTGGAAAGGTCTACTCCAAGGTACTGGAGAGGAGGGTCCGATCGATAGTTGAATCTCCGATTGAGGAGGAGCCATGTGGTTTTCGTCCTGGCCGTGGAACTGTGGACCGGCTCTATACCCTTGCAAGGGTGATGGAGGGGCCATGGGAGTTTGCCCAACCAATCCACATGTGTTTTGTGGATTTGGAGAAGGCTTATGACTGTGTCCCCACGGGCACCTGTGGGGGACGCTCCAGAAGTATGGGGTGGGTGGCTTTCTGTTAAGGGCCATTCAGTCCCTTTACCAGAGGAGCGTGAGTTTGGTCCGCATAGCCGGTCGTAAGTCGGACCTGTTCCCGGTGAGGGTTGGACTCCGCCAGGGCTGCCCTTTGTCACCGGTTCTGTTCATTACCTTTATGGACAGAATTTCTAGGCGCAGCCGTGGTGTGGAGTGTGTTGAGTTTGGTGGCAGGAGAATCTCGTCTCTGCTTTTTGCGGATGATGTGGTCCTCCTAGCTTCATCCAGCTCTGACCTTCAGCTCTTGCTGGGTAGGTTCGCGGCCGAGTGTGAAGCGGCTGGGATGAGGATCAGCACCTCCAAATCTGAGACCATGGTTCTCAACCAGAAAAGGGTGACTTGCCAACTCCGGGTCGGAGGAGAGGTCCTACCTCAAGTGGAGGAGTTTAAGTATCTCGGGGTCTTGTTCACGAGTGAGGGTAGGAGGGATCGGGAGATCGACAGGCGGATTGGGTCAGCATCTGCAGTGATGCGGACTCTGAGCCGGTCTGTCGTGGTGAAGAGGGAGCTGAGCCAGAAAGCCAGGCTCTCAATTTACCGGTCGATCTACCTCCCAATCCTCACTTATGGTCATGAGCTTTGGGTAATGACCGAAAAAACGAGATCGCGGATACAAGCGGCCGAAATGAGTTTTCTCCGTAGGGTGGCCGGGCTCAGCCTTAGAGATAGGGTGAGGAGCTCGGACATTCGGGAGGGACTCTGAGTAGAACCGCTGCTCCTCCGGATCGAAAGGAGCCATTTGAGGTGGTTTGGGCATCTGGTTAGGATGCCTCCTGGACGCCTCCCCGGGGAGGTGTTTCGGGCATGTCCTGCCTGCAGGAGGCCCCCGGGTCGACCCAGGACACGTTGGAGAGGTTACATCTCCAATCTGGTCCGGGAACGCCTTGGGGTCTTGCCGGAGGAGCTGGTGGAGAAGGCCGGGGAGAGGACAGTCTGGAGCTCCCTAGTTGGGATGCTGCCCCCGCGACCCAGACCCGGATAAGCGGAGGAAGACGGCGACGACGACCAGAGGAAAGCAGAGGAGCCTAATTGTACTTTAGTAGCTTTTCTGCGATATATTAAAGTAGAATAGACTCTTAATCCTAATTTGGTTAAAAGGCTGCTGAAAATTAGTAAAGATTTGATCACAACAGCTGATTTAATTTAATAAACTTATTATATAAAGTTATTTGCAATATATTATAAATTGATTTTAAGGGCAAAAAAGAAAATAACATTTTAAATTCGGATTCTGAATCCTTCATTCACATTAAAACCTTCTAGTAGGTGATGTTTAATACAACAGTCCAACATGAATCCTGACAGTATCTAACCCTGAATGTAATATTATCAAAATATATTTTCTGATAAGACTGGGCCACCTGTATGCTATAAGCTTACTATTATAAAAATACAGAATGGGACATAAGTGTCCTGAAATGAAAATAAATGTATCATTTAAGTACATGAATATAATTATTTTTCCACATTTTACCAATTTCATTTCACATGTTTACCTCATATGTAATAAATATCGTGGGGTTTATTTTTTACATAGAAAAATGTGATTACAGTATCTATTTTGCCTCTGTAAAATAAAATTTGCTTTAATATCTTTACTTCTCTCTGACATAATTTATTCAACACATCACAGGGACAGCAATAGCTCAGGAGGTGGAGCGGGTTGTACAGCAATTATAAGGTTGCAGGTTCAATCTTGGCTTCCACCAGAGAATGTTGTTGTGTCCTTGGGCAAGACGCCTAACCCACCTTGCCTTGCCTGCTGGTGGTGGTGCCAGTGTATTGCAGGCCTAGCCTATTTTAGTGCACCCCAGGGCAGCTGTGGCTACATCACAGCTCATCATCACCAGAGCGTGAAAGTGTGTGTGGGTGAATGGCTACTGTGAAGCACCTTGGGGGGGGGGGGGGGGGTAGAACCCTAAGAAGGCACTATATAAATACAGGCCATTTACATCACCCTAATTAATCCCAAACTGGCTAAAACTGAACTTTTTCTGCCAGACTCATTTTGGTTAGACCTAATGTTCTCTGTTACACACACACACAGAAATAAAAATTAAAATGAAGAGAGTCACACTCGCTTTTGCAAAAGTGATATTTACTAGGTTTTTTTTTATAGAAGAAACATGTTTTATATGAACATTTAAAGAACCAGTTTCTACTTTCTCTGATAAAACAAACTCAAAATATTTAAAACATTTAAACCTTATGTACTGAACTCTGCATGATTTAAAGCCCTACCACAACAGCAGCTTTCTCTCTAAACAGAACAGAAATCTGCAGGAACAAGTGTGCTGAAATTAAGTTAATCTGTGTAACACATTTTAAACGAAGTCTTTCTGTGTGCACAACGCATTTTTTTAACTAAATGCTTTGTTAGATGAATGTGGCCAAAAGGACCAACCTCACTTTTCTGAAACAAATTTTACTTTTTTTCTTTTGGTCAGACAAAATGTTTAAAGCATCAAGTGCCAATGTTTAGGCTGTTAAATTCACTTTGGCTTTTTTCTCAAGTCATCAAGTGCTCGTATGTTTAGTTTTCTCTAGATGTGTTAGAAACACCAACGTGCTAAATGTCGTTTAAGCTGAGGCACCCTGGTGAACAAAGAGAGGCACTGCAGTAGTCTGCAAGAGCGTTAGGATTCACAGCACAGCTTCAGTTTGGTCAAAAAGGGAAGTTTTGATATAGAAAACTATTCAGATCAGCAGTGCATAGTCAAACCTTAAACATTTCATAGATTTCAAGTAACTTGGTGTCTTTATTTTACTTCTGGTGATCATGAACAACAAAAAACAGACACGTGTCAACGGGGAAAAATGACCAAACTGTCCTCATTCATCCTACAGGATTCCTGTTATAAAGATATTTATTCCTGTGGCGTTTCGCTGAGGGTGGGGGAAGCGTTCACCAAAAGATTAGGAAATCTTTCAAATCCATTTCCAAAAGACCTGCTACATGTTTCTGTAACAGAGTTGTCACACGTCACATTTGACTTAGCTCAAGCTAAACTGCGGCCCAACTACTCAAAAAGCAGAGATAATAAACTATTTTCAACAAAGTAACATTTACAATTTAAAAACAGCTTAAATAAATCTACAATCTCAGACAAACAGCAATTTACCATTTTATATACGACACGTGACTAATTCAAATGAGGGATTTTGCTTGCGGTCATGTCCTTTGGAAATAAAGCTTAATTATATTTTATATCTTCTCATCAGTGTTAAACACAGTAAAGTTGTTTTTGTATAGTTAAAACAGGACATTTATTATACAAGTAGTTCTTTTCTTCCACAGATGTCCACTTTTTCCTCCACATCACAGATGGAGTAACACATCTCTGAATGTTAGTTTGGCACTTTACAAACAACGAGCAGCAGGCTCTTACTACAGCAGGAAGTAGTACTTATATTAGAGCTGAAACATGCTGCGTTCCCATCAGTACGTCTGATTCGGCTCTACTCTGCACAAATCTGTTGAGTTATTAAATAATATTAATAATAAAGTTGGACCATAACAGTGTTTTGGTGACAGGTTGGGTTGTTCTTCACATTCAAGCATGCTAACCAATATTTAAACAATCGACCCTTAGAGGATCTTTAAATATTTTACCCAAATGTAACGGAAAGAGAGGATGACAGTAAAATCACTCTCATATAAACCACCATGTACATATTTAATATAGTAGCATTTATCTAGTAGGTCCTTCTGAAGTTAATCTTTCAGGACAAACCAGGCTTTGAGACTCAGGTGAACAACGTCACGTCACAGTTTTTTTTAAACCCAAACAAACCCAACAGAGCCAGGGTTTTTTTTTTTATAACTTTATGATTAAAATAAACTTTTCTTGTACTAAACCTAAATTTTAAAAATGATTGCATGACACCAACAAATATCTAACTATTTTATCTGTGCTTTAAAATGTGGAATTAAGGGAAATGGTTTGGTCTCCATCTTCAACACAAAGGTTAGAAACATCCAGCAGCAGGTGATCAACATCAGAGACATTAAAGGATTTTTTCTCTAAACGGTTTTTCTTTCCCATGTTTGTTCAGCTGCAGCTTAGAACGTCTACATTAGATCAATTACTGTTTCATTTATTATGTGTTATTAAGGCTTCATACTGTAGTGTACGTATTACAGATGTTATTTCTCTGTAGAAGTCTAGATGTGTCTCCTTTAGAGGTCCAGATGTTTAACCATTCAAGATGTTGTCCCTGAACTCTGCAGGAGTGTTTTTAGTTGGATGGGCTGTAAGGGCACCTTTAAAACCTGTTGGACTAAAACACACTGGCCAGACTTCCTGGTCCCCGGTATCAGACGGGTTGTTTGACTGCAGCCACCACAGACCAGCAGCAGCAGCTCCATGCGTCCTCTCATCTGTCCACCGGCGTGTCAAAGTCCATATCGCTGAGTAAGAAAATGTCTGTGTGGCGTCGAAGACTCAGGGGGACCTGAAGGAGACGATAAAGACATGTTATCAAAGAAAACGTCATAAATAAACCCTACACTAAAGTAAGTGGAAAAATGATTTATTGTATGATTTGAGTTTTTAATATTTGATCTCTTAAAAGTCGTCTGCATCCGTGTTTTGATTTATCTTCATTTAATGACATAATTTATTAAAGTAGGACCGCAGCAGTTAAATGCACTAAATCGTCTCAATGCTGCAACCTGGAAAACATGCGATGAATAAATAACTTAATCAGTAAATCAAAAGGTGATTTTTGTGTAAGTTGCCAAATATTATGATTGTTTTTGATTGCCAGATTAATCAAAAATGCTCACCTTGGAGAAATATTATTTTCCAAACTCATAGTTCTTCATTTATAAATGGAACTTCCTGAAAAATTGAAGTATTTATTGTAAACATGATATATTTTTAGAAGGTTTAGCTCTTACACAGAAGAAATGAACAGATTAATATTAGAAAAAGTTTAAAATCAAATCATCTGTATTCACTTTTTAACAATGGAGTTGTTTCAATAACCTTTTCTGTTGACAGAAAACTAAATACTGGATTTGGCTCAACACTAAGAAAAATATTTGAAACAATTAAACCTACAACATTTAAATAAATAGGAATTTAGAAAAAAGTAAAATTTGACTTAGACATGCAACTTTTAGGTATAGTAATATTTTGTGTTTTGAGCTTCCAGCTGACACGTGATCAGCAGTAACATGATTTGTTTTTTTAAAGATGAATAAACTACTGAGTGGCTTTCAAAGAAGACACAAACATGGAGCTGCAGGACGGCGCGACGCTAGAGTGTTATCAAAACGTTCCCATCATTTCCAGAATGAATCCATTATGACAGTTTTATGGTTGTGGATCTGCACTCACATCCGCGGGTATTTCATACATCATACTTTAGCACTCGAGATATTTTTATTCTGTCTAGACCTGCAAGCTTCTGTTGGTTAAAACCAACCTTATTCTGTCATATATATATATATAATATATATACATACATATATATATATAATATATATAATCAGTTTTTATATTCTGCTTCTAAAGCAACTTTACAGTCTACAATAACCGGAAAGTAAATAAACTCGTGTTTCAATATTTCTGCTGAAATCTCGAGCTGATCCAGAGCCCTCACACACTCAAACAGAAGACTCCAACAAATTTCTATAAATTTACTATTAACTTTTATTTTTTTGGTGCATTTTCAAAAGCAAAACAAACAGTTTTTATTCAGTTTCAAACAGCAGAAATGAAAGGACAACATGACATCACCACCATGAGCTCAGTCAACAACACATGTGCCTTTCTCAGTTTCTAGACGTGAGGTTGGATGAAAATATTTCATCATTTTGTTTTTATGAACAAACTCCTTTTGAGAACAAAACTCCCAAGAAAAACTGAACTGCTTTGATTTCCAGCACGTTTATTTCTGACACCACACACACTACTTGGATATCGCTCATGCTTTAAAACACTAACTCTGCAGCTGCGTGCCCGGTTTGGTGTTAGACCACCTACAGGAAGTAATGAGAAGGAAGCTGCATCATAATCGGAATACTGCTGAATATGAGCATCATCGCCACCTCCTGAACTAAAGCCTAAACATCATTCAGCTTCTGCTGAACTACCGAATGATTTAGTCACATTTGGACAGACTGAAGTTTACCGTTTGACCTGCAAAATGGTCAGGAGGTAAAACAGCAGCTTTACACTGGAAACAAAACAAACCATACAGACATATTTCAATAGAAAATAACAAAAATCACCTACGTTCAGTAAAAGCGGTGGACAACAGGCTCCTTCATGGTAAATAAATCAGAACAAAGTCAACAAACGTCATTATTTCTCTACTTTTATAAATAGCGGAGTTCATCTGTCTGGACGGTACTTTTCTCAGAAGCTCAACAAAATGACTACTTGAGATGATGGAATGATGATGGAACAAACATGTTTAAGCAAATGTAGAATTCACAGTAACACAACAGAAGCCTTTGTTTAGGCAGAAATAACCATCCTCACCCAATACCCATCTGATACGGTATTATGCAAAAAAGTTAAACCACTATGTCTTTATGAAAGGTTTTGACAATTAGATCTTCCTGTCTTTAAACAGTTTTCTTTGCACCGTGACTTTTTCACTCGTTTTCTGTCCAACATAATAGATAAGGGAAGAGGACGAGTGGAGGACAAAGTCCAGAAAGATGCATCATCCTTCAGTTGATCATCTACTGAAAGTCAAGATTTTGGTTAATATCTGGTTGTTGGTGCTAAAATGTTATTTTATGTGCCAAACTGTGTTTCCTTTGATGGTTTTTCCCCCCCAAAAGAATCAAACAATACAATTGGAACACAGTCTGGAAAGTTTATAGGGAAGAGTGAAATGAATAACTAAAACAAAGCTAGACATCCTATCAAGGGCTACATTAAAATTAGTAAAAAGGCAGGATGCAAAGAAAACCAGTAGACGGTCTTCAGAAAGTTGAAGAAAATCTTGATCAGGATTAGTTTTTAAATATTATAATAAAATCTGGGCTTTTGGAAAGAAAATCGACCAATAAAGGGTGGTTTTACAGTACTGTAGACATAAGATTATGGTCAGTAGACAAATACTTTTCCTACAAAATACTACGATAAATGTTTAAACCTTGTACAAGATTAGAAAACAAACCCTGTGCTCTCGATGCTAAATAATGTTTTATAGAAGATAAAACACACTACATATGGTACAAACAGAGGCCACTGCCATGTTTCTAAACAAACAAGCATCTATGACCTCTCCAAGCACTGAGGCACTGGATACGCTCTGTAGCTCCGAGGTGAGAATACTTCTATACTACAGTCAAATCTGATCAGAGTTGTGCAAAAGAGACAAAACAAAGTGACAAATTACCGTATTTTCCAGACTATAAGCTGCTACTTTTCCCCACGCTTTGAACCATGCGGCTTATAATGAGGTGCAGCTTTTGTCAACCAGAAAGGATGGATGCTGGAAAGTCTAATGAAGGAATGGTTAAAGGAGTGCTACGGAAGGCGCCCGGGAGGATTTTTTTCACAGTAAAACGGTGCTGCTCGTTTTCCCAGCTTCACCCCAGGATGATGACAGCAACATGGACAGCGACACTGACATCGCCACAGAAAAGGTATGTGACGAAGCTCTTCTGAGGCTGTTCAGCTCCGACACTGAAGAAGAGGACTTCAGTGGTTTCAGGACGATGAATAAACTAATCAATAACTTTTCTGTTTTGTTTGATACTGATCAGTTCAGTTACGTTCAGTTAAACTACATTTCCAATTCAGTAGATATCTGCGGCTTTTAGCCCGGTGTGGCTTATATTAAGGTGCGCTCTATAGTCCGGAAATTACGGTAAGCATCTGAAGATGCTTCACATCGAAACTCACTCCTTCAACTTGGTTCACATTTTAAACAGGAATGAGATTCTAATACAAACAACCTGAACATAGATGCTGGGATACAATGAAGGCTGGATATCATTTGGTGCTTTTTAGAGAAAAACCTTCATGATATTTAAAAGTTCAGTCAAAACAGAGCAGAGATCATTAGCGGAGAAGGAAACGCCAACATCATTTATAAATAAAGGTGAAATACTGTAACCACATCTTGTGATGCATCTAGCCATTATTGAAGCAAATGTATCATATTTATTGGACTTATTTTCAAAGATCCTGAAACACACATTGTTGTTTCACACAGTTTGGTGAAGCAAAGGTTGGGAAACGGGTTTACAACTTTTTCAATCAGGCAGATCATCAGGCGTGCAGACGTGGACAAAATTGATGATACCCTTGGTCAATGAAAGAAAAACCCACAATGGTCACAAAACTAACTTGAATCTGACAAAAGTAATAATTAAAATTTCTATGAAATGTATCCAATGAAAGTTGGACTTTGCTTTTTAACCGTGCTTCAATGGAAGTATTAAAATAAATAAAATAACTTGTGGAACAGGCCTGGACAAAAATTATGGTACCCCTAGAAAACACTGAAAATAAGACCTAAGAGACATGTTAATTAAAGGTGTGTCCACTAATTAGCCTCACAGGTGTCTACAATCTTGTAATCATTCAGTTGGCCTAAATATAGGGTGCCAGGTAGTCACTGTGTTGTTTGGTGAGTACCACACTAAACATGGACCAGAGGAAGCGAAGGAAAGAGTTGTCTTAGGAGATTGGAAATAAAATTATAAACAAACACATTAAAGGTAAAGGCTACAAGGCCATCTCCAAGCAGCTAGATGTTCCCATATTATTTAGAAACTTAAGATCCATGGAACTGCAGCCAACCTCCCTGGACGTGGCCACAGGAGGAAAAATGATGACAAATCAAAGACACAGATAATCCGAACGGTAACAAAAGAAGGAAAACTTCTGAAGAGATTGAAGGTGAACTTCAAGCTCAAGGAACATCAGTGTCAGATCGCACCATCCATTGTTGTTTGTCCTGTGTGGACTACATGGGAGATGACCAAGGAGGACACAGTTGTTAAGAACAAATCATAAAAAAAGCCAGACTGGAATATGCCAAACTACATGCTGACAAGTTACAAAGCTTCTGGAAGAATGTGCTTTGGACAGATGATACAAAAATGGAAGTTTTTGCCAAGGCATATCAGCTTTGTGTTCACAAATAGAAAATTAAGTATATCAAGAAATTAACACTGACCCTACTGTGAAACATGGAGGAGGCTCTATTATGGTCTGAGGCTGCTTTGTTGCATCTTGAACCTGTGCAGGGGACGATGAAATCTCAAGACTATCAAGGGATTCTAGAGAGAAATGGGTTGGCCAGTGTCAGAAAGCTTGGTCTTAGTCACAGGTTATGGGTCTTGCAACATGACAATGACCCAAAACACACAGCCATTCTTGGGTGTTTCTAGCTAAGAGGAAAACACTGGACTATTCTAAAGTGGCCTTCTATGAGTCGGGACCTCAATCCTATTGAGCATCTTTGGAAGGAGCTGAAACATGCCATCTGAAAAAGACACTCTTCAAACCTGAGACCGCTGGAGCAGTTTGCTCATGAGTGGGCCAAAATACTTGCTGAAAGTTGCCAAAGTCTCATTGATAGTTACAGGAACCATTTGATTGTGGTGATTGTCTCAAAAGGTTGTGCAACAAAATATTATATAATTATTGTCCAGGCCTGTTCCATTAGTTTATTTTTAAAATAATTCTGTCGAAGCACGTTTGAAAAACAATGTCCCAAGCTCCAATTCCCCAAGGTGACAGTAGAGACATCCTTCCAGCCAGACCTGGTCATATGATCAGAGCCAAGAAAGACTGGAATGCTGATGGTGGTACTCAGTCCCTTGGCATCAAAGCTGCCAATGAAGGGATGCATTCCAAGCAAACAGACCTGGCAGAAGACTACAGGGAGGGCCATCTGGGATGCCATCACGTACACTGTTGAATTAGGAGGCAGGGTCTACATTAGGTCCTCAACTGTTCTCCTGCTCATGGGATGCACAGGAACAGGGCCATGAAAAAATTGGTAGTGGAGGCAAAGTAGGCTAAGGAAGGATATGAGTTGGGAACCAAATATCACCTATGGCACCAGCATGGGGTAGCAGGGGGTGATCCCTGCCACTGCTCAGCCACCAGGAGATGTACTGGGTTAAAGCAGCAAAACATCTATGAAGGGTGTTCCCAAGCTTGTGACCCGCTAAAGGAGCCCATTTGTTCAAAAGGTACTGGCAGAAGTGAGTCAAGCAGCAACATGTATCTCCAAGAGCAATGGTGTCTCACCCCAACGAGCACTAATAAAGATGGAAAAATGACTATTTGTAGCCTTCCTGACACCATGGTGATCATAAGTTAGAGGCTGCTTTCTGCGTTTACATCAGCAGCGCAAATGTCCAGTCTTAGTTTGTTTTATTTGCTTCAGACAACTATGAAGTCAGAGCAGCTTGTGTTTAAGAACCGCCCAGAACAATGAAGCAATCTATTTCAAGTCATGTTCGGATTTAAGTCATAGGCATATTCTCAGGTCTCCTCAGACGGACGTTCACAGGAGGTTGAGGTTTTGCCATTTTGGCCCCAATACTAAGACACTCATCACCAAAGAGAGTCAAAAAAGATCTGTAGCTCTAGAATTTTAAAATCTGCCTGAAAACCCACTTTTACTGTTTAGCATTTCCCTATTGTGCACATGGTTATCCTGTTGTTGCCTTTTGGCTGATGCCTTTTTTAAAACGTAATTTTATTGTGTTTTTATTTTGTAATTTGACTTTATATTTTATCTTATTTAAACTGGTAGGTACTATATTATATCGTGATTGGATGATTGTAATTTACTGCTGCTGTGTTCAGCACTATGGTCATTCTTGGTGGTTGTGTAAAACATTGGCTCCCCACACACATCTTTTCATTTTTTTTAATCATCAAACATTTACTGAAATGGGAAAAATGATCTAGATAAGAGTCAGAAATTTCGATTACGATAAATTTTCGACTTATTACTCAGTCCTGTTGTGAAGTTACCAATATTATACAGTACAGACCAAAAGTTTGGCCACACCTTCTCATTCAATTCAATACATTGGTAGATTCTCACTGAAGGCATCAAAACTATGAATGAACACATGTGGAGTTATGTACTTAACCAAAAAATAACTGAAAACATGTTTTATATTCCATTTTCTTCTAAATAGCCACCCTTTGCTCTGATTACTGCTTTGCACACCCTTAGCATTCTCTCGATATTGCGGACTCTTGCGGAGTCAAGTTCCTATGCTCTGGGTCGCTGGAGCGCTGGCAATAAAGCTTTTTCTGATTCGGATTCTGATAAGGCACACCTGTGTAATGGAAACCATTTCAGCTGACTACCTCTTGAAGCTCATCAAGAGAATACCAAAAGTGAGGTGTGTCCAAACTTTTGGCCTGTACTGTATTTGTAACAATTGCATAACACACCCAATATCAAAACTAAGAGAAAGTTGGAACCACTTTATCTGACCGTTTTGCATCAATATGAGATCAATATGCCCTTATTTAATTTGAAATCACCCCTCATGTGCACTTGTCCAGGGCTGAGTTGGCACGCACATGTGATGTGGACCCAAGTTGTTGAAGGTGTAGCAGTAGTAGTGCTTCTGGTTCTCTGCTTCACATGTACTGTTCTTGACCTGCACTATCCAAATATTGGATTTCTGTTTTTTTATACAATATCTGAAGTCCTGCAGCACTAAATTAAACCAAAGCCATCGTTTGCCATTTTTGATTGGCCCCAGACGTTGACTTGTCAAAAACAATGCGTTTAATTTTTCATTAAAAGTGGGCAGGCGTGCTATACTAACAAGTATATGAAGTATGCAAGCATATATGAAGCAAAGTGAGTAATATTCACCTTTGCCATGGGTAAAAACATACATGTCTTGCATGGTCTTAGAAAAAATAGGATATAGTTTGTGGATCCATGAATATTGCCTTTTAGTATTATTTGCCGCTTTATGTTTAGTAAGAAAATCTAAAGTTGCAAAAAGTGGCAATTTCTGTGCTTAAATTTACACTTTGTTTCATAAAAAGACCTTTGAAAAGAAAATTACAGGTTGAAAACAGATTGAATCCTTAGGCTACAGTAAGATAAGAACATTGAGGAAGTCGTCATTAGATCAGGTGTGTTTACACCTAAACAACACAATCAGTGATGCAACAGTAGTTTTAAAAAGTCAATTAAATGATTGAATGTGTGCAAATAAACTACTTTTTGATGCAAATATATTTCTGCATTGCTGTCTGTTGAGTTTTTTTCTTAATAGTTTATTGGGTTTTCCTTAACCACAGCAGCAGTATTGGACCTGTGGAATAAGGTTTAATTGCTGAAAGGTTTAGTGAGAGAACAACTGAGCTTGCAGCTGTTGAGATAAAAGCCACGGTTCAGATTGTTCTAGTTTTTTATGACTGACTCATCACTGACGACGACTCGAACTTGTGCCTCTCAGTCAAAGGTCGACTGCTTTGATTTAGCTGATGTTAGCGTAAGTAACAGCAAACCTGCCTTCAGGTATTAAAAAAACAACTCATTTATGAGTGAATACTGCAGATGATTTCATGACTTTAAATAAAAACACTGATTTCTTCTTCTTTTAATAAACTGGCTGAAGCAGCGATGTACTTAATGTGCTGGTGTACTTTGGAGAACCTAAAAAGCAACAAATCTGATATCCAGTCTTACAAAAAATACACATAAGACACCAAATGCACTTTCAAAATGATCCTAAAAAGTCCTGGTTGAGTACAAGTGTCTCCCAGAGAACAGAGACATGCTGGTGGTTACTGTGGTGTTCAGCTCTAGGAATCATACTCAGACTGGTCCTCTATGAACACAGCAGGTGGATTGCTTACCCTGCTGCCACAGTCCAGGCTGGAAACCCCCAAGGCAACCAGACAGTGCCACGACTGCAGAACAAAAGGAGAGGGGAAGACATCAAACTTCATGAGCACTTCTGAATGCATTTTAGAGAGAACAGTAATGCAGTATCGTATACTCTAAACACACAGTTCCATTTTTAAAGCAACTCTAAACTGATTAAAACAAATAAATATATATAATAAATTTATGTTTGAGGAGAGATCAAATGTTATGTCACCCAGGTCACCTGCCATCCCATGTTTGTGATTTCTGTTTTATTTAAATGATGAGTAAATTACCTTTTCTTTCTCTCAGGTTTGTTAGCTGTCGTTATGTTTTCATGGGATTGAATTTACTCCATCACACACGTACAGTTCAAGATCTACAGGTATTAGTTCATCTTTTTGTGATTGTTAGAAAGTAGCTAGAGAATCGACAGTAACCCAAAAGCATGAAGTCTGAGTAAAAACGGCTTCAACTCACCAGGTAGGCCACAAAGCACAGGTATCCCACAGAGAGGAGAGCAGCGAAAACGTAGAGCAGCACGCTGTTTAGAGCAGTCACATAAACTACCACAAAGTACATGTTGATGGCACAAACCACCAGGATGACGATGCCTCCTGAGATCTTCCAAATCCTTGAACAAACACACACACACATACACACACACGCTTGTAAAACATAACGTTACTTTTAAAATTAAGTCTGAAAACACTCATATATACTAAAAAACAGAAAATACACACTCAGGGTTACAAGTTAAACCATGTTTTATTTTGACAGTAGTTTATTTTTGTTGGTTTAAAACTAACGTTTCAGGTTTGTTTTGAATATTGAACTAAATTATCTGAGAAAGACAAACAGTCTGGTGTTTAAACAGATAAACTGACTTCAGCGTTGTTTCGCTTCCTCTCCATTATGCTGATCTACTGTCTAAACATGTTTGACAAAAACAGTCAGGTTTTATATTTAGACAATAACACAAGAGTGTGAGAAAATGTTCTTGTGTCTCAGTCTTAATTTTACAGATTTCTCCCAGTGGAAAATGAGCTGTGGCTTAAAAATGAGCAACTATTGTCTTGTGCTCAAAGAGGAGAAACTAAATCAGAATCAAAACTTGTATATTTTACTTACATTCCGTTAGAAAAGTCGCCCATTATGGACGTCAGACTGGTGAAGGTTAGAATTGGGATCAAAGCAAATGGAAGCTGTAGGACGAGAGGAGGAACGAAGGTAAATATTTTACGTTCCATTGTGACGAGCTTTGACTGAGAGGGTTTGCTCTGACCTGCATGCTTTGGAGCACATTGAGGAAGTCGTTCATCCCAGTCAGATGCTCAACATCCTGGAAAATTGCGACCAGCAGCGTGGGTGTGATGGCGATGGAGCGGGTCAGCAGCACTCGAGCAAAACGAGACCACTTCAGGTTCAGGAAACCCTTAAAAGGAGTCGAAAATAGATGTAGAAATTTATTCATGAACATCGGTTTAGCTTCTCAGAAGAAGAAAAAGCAATTTTGATATATTTTTTTACCTCCATCACAAACTGTCCAGAGTAGGTTCCTGTCATGGTGGAGCTCTGACCCGCTGCCAGAATCCCAATGGCCCAGATGTAGAGAGCTGCAGGACCAAAGAAGCAGCCCAACACCACTCCCTGATCGGACAGGAAAAATAATAATTTTCAACCATTACCAAAAGTCAAACAGAAGCCAAAAAAAAAATCCCTTCTGATCTTTTGATCTGTAAGCTTTCATTAGTATCCATGCTATTAAAGCAGAAGCAGGATTTGGTGGGACACTTGGAAAACAGCTGATTGTGTTTTTCACCCAATAGCTCACAACGCTAATTATCTACTAGCCTCTTTTAATAATCACAGTTTTCAGAGTTCATGCATCTGTTACGGAAATAACTGTAGGATTAAAACTTGCAAAAACAAGCTAATTATAAGTGTTAGCTAAGTGTTTTCAGTGTAACTCTAGTTACTAGTTTGTGCACGCCCATAAAAGACCATGTAATGATGTCAGCATGAGAGTTGTACAACGGTTTTGACCCTTGGACTGAGCTGAGAGCCAAAATGTTTTCCTTTACCTTTCCCCAGAAGCAAACTCAAGATAAATTCCCAAGCAGAAGTTTTATCAAAAATGTGAGGAAAATGTTTTGTTTTCACAGTTTCTGTTGTTCTCCTACTTAGCCATGGTTTAATAAGCATGAATGTGAGTCGGTAATAACTGAAGTACGACTCCTAAAACACATCTAACAAACACTGTTGACCCAGTCAGGAGTGTGTGTTCTCCATGGATAAAGTAAACATGTCTCAAATGTGTAGAAGTGTGTATGAGCATACCCCTTTGTAGATGTCCACCTCCAGGGTGCCGTTGTTTAGAGGGAAGAGGTCGGTGTGAGGGCTGCCAGTAGCGTTGCACATAGCATTCTGCAAAGCATACTCAGAATCAGCTCAACCTCCACTCCATTACACCAAGAACTATCATTCTGCTCAGCTGCACAGGCTCCACAGACTCACCACATCAATGTTGGTTTTATTATAAAAGGCCTGAGCAAACACGGCCACTACGAAGACGTTGATGAGGAAGGAGACGAAGAGCGCGATGGATGACTCGATGAAGAAATATTTATTGGCTTCCTTAACTTCCTTCTTGTCTTTGCGATCCACCTCACGAGACTAAAAGAAAAATAGCAGCGAAACCACTTGAACTGCATCTCTGATTCCATACATAACTACAAAAATCTGAGATCGAGGCATTTTTCAGCCAAGTTTAGGAATTCAGTTGTTACATAAATGTTTCTGACCTTGACCAGAGCCGAGTGCAGGTAGATGTTGTGGGGCATGATGACAGCGCCCACGATTCCCACGGCCTGTTCCAGCTGCACTGGCCCACAGCCGGCGCAGTACGGCACAAACATCCCCTTCAGAACCTCTCCTTGGTCTGGTTTCACCAGCACGTACTGAAGTGGACAGAAATAAATGTTAAAAGTCACAAATCACTAAAACTTTGTGTTTTAAATGTGAAGGAACCTCACCTCATAACCAAAACTAACAGCCATTACAGTGATGAGAAAGCCAAAGAAAGCTTCAAGTTTCCTCAGACCTAAAGAGATTTAAACGTGTGTAGATACTGACAGACACATTCAGAAAGAGGTTTACATCTTTGTCAGGATCATTACAAACCATATTTGTCTAAGAAGAGGAACACAAATGTGTCTGTGATGGTGATGAGAACTCCGGCCCACAGCGGGATCCTAGAGATGAAGACAAATACAGTTAATTTTCTTTAAATATTTTATTTGTTTTTGCAGAATTCACAGCTCAAGTACCTGCCCACAGAGAGGAGATTAAAAGCGATGGCACAGCCGATGACCTCCTGCATGTCCGAACCAATAATCGCCAGTTCGACCATCAACCACAGGATGATCCGAGGAATCTGAAAAAGAAAAAAATAACAGTCTAGTTTTAGAAATGTAATAAACAATATGTCAGGAAAGTACGGAAGAGGATTAGGGCCACTGAAAAGAAAAAAAGAAGAGAAGGAATTATTTTCTCAGAATTCTAACTTTAATAATTCTGAGAAAAAAACATCAGAATTCAGAGGAAAAAAGTCTGAATTCTGAGAAAAAAAAATCTGAATTCTGAGAAAAAATAGTCTGAATTCTTTGGGGAAAAAAGTCTGAATTCAGAGAAAAAAGTCTGAATTCTGAGAAAAAAAAGGTCAGAATTCTGAGAAAAAAATGGCAGAATTCTGAGAAAAAAAATGTCAGAATTCTGAGAAAAATGTCAAAATTCTGAGAAAAAAACATCTGAATTCTGAGAAAAATGTCAAAATTCTGAGAAAAAAAACATCTGAATTCTGAGAAAAATGTCAGAATTCTGAGATTAAGGTCAGAATTCTGAGAAAAAAGTCAGAATAATAAGAAAAAAAGTCAGAATTCTGAAAAAAAGGTCAGACTTTTTTTTTCCTTTCAGTGGCCCTAATGCTCTTCCGTAGTAAAGAGCAGAATTTGTTTAAAAGAAAACAAATACCAGTTTATATAAAAAAAATGCATGATTAGATTGAGGGAATTTAGGTGAGCAATCAGAAAAGGGAGGATGCTCACAGTGGGATACTGGCGATTGCAGACTTCAGCCAGGTGCATTCCAGTGACGACTCCGAGGCGCGCAGCTAACCTCTGTAACAACAACCCGATGATGGTGGACACAAGAAGGATCCACAGCAGCTGCAAAGAAGACCAAATCAGCACATGTGGTTACATCCCACAAGCTGGCCATCACCCTTTAATAATAATTTACCAGAATGATATTTTTCATATACATTCTGGACTTTGAGATGCTATAAAACTATCTAGTAAATACCAACAGAACTATATGAACCAACCAGAGCCATAAACAGTCAGGCACAAAATGCAGACATGTACAAAAAAATCTGTCTGTGAAATGTAACAAATATAAATCAAGAGAAATATTGAACAGACACTGAATTTAGTGGATGTCAGAAAAAACAAGCTAAAACCATCTTTACTCATTACCTTAAAACCAGCTTTAGCTCCAGACTGCAGATCTGATTCAATGTTCCCTGGATCCAAATAAGCAATACTCATCAAGAACCCCGGTCCAGTGAAGGCCCAGAGTTTACGGAAACTGAATACCTGGGTAAAGAAGTGCAGCTCTTTTTATTTCCAAACATATTTTACTTGTGCCCATGATTATGTCAAGTTTTGGTCTATATTACAGAAAACATCAGCTGTTTGGTGGTACCTGGTTGGGACTTTCTGGAATGTGCACCTTCTCCTCAAAGTACGTGGAGAAAGGTTCTTCTTGGACCACGGGTGAGGAAGGAGGAGAGATGGAGCTGTAATGGTTCGTGTGGACTCCATTCTCCTGCTGGGGGTCCTCTGAGGAAAACAGAAAGGGAAAGCGTTGGCTCTTGAGCTAGTGATGAGGGAGAAGGAAGATTATCAAGAAACAATAATCTGCTTGTAGAACTAAAATGATCTTTTACAGTTTCAATTTGACATCATTTTCCACATATTTCAGATTATTGCTGAGATTTCGGGAAGTGGACAGAAACACTAGTAGAAAAAGATAATCGTGCAACTTTTTGAGACATTTTATTTAAGCCATCCTAAATGCATTGATGTTTTGATGTGAGGAGAAAAGACTGAACGCAAAAGCAACAATGAACAAGCAATTTAGAATAAACCCTAAAATTAAACGTTCCAACTTAATTCAGCAGGATCCTTTAATTAGCCACATCCCGACTCCACTAAAATATGTTATGAGCACAATAAAAACAGGATTCGAATAAAACCAGGAAAAAGCTTTTCCTGGTCTTATAATTACTGTTTAACACAACAAAAGTAGGACGGTAAATGCTACTCACTACGTTTGGACCTTTCCATCTTTTCACCCATAAGCTCCCTCTCACTGCAGGTCCTAAAGTCCACCGTTGCCTAAGACTGACTGCTTTTACGTGACACAGCCTCTGACTTTTTTTCCTTTTTTGATGGCTGATGTGGGGGGAGGAGGTGCCTTAAATGTCACAAAGACATCTGGCACTGTGTTGGAAAAAATGACCCTCAGATAAGGAGAAGTAAAGCCAATCAGCACAGCAAACGTGCGCAGGAGAATGTCAATAAGACAACACCTCTCCTTCACTCACTCAGAATACCTAAACAGTTTTCTGTAAAAACACCAATGTGGGACACTTTTACCACGATCAGAGAATCACAACCCAGGGTGAAACGTGTGGATATGAGATGAGCGACAGCATGCACTGCAGGCTGACAAAGAAGAAATTTCAAAACCTTTGCAAGACACTAGGTGGGTTTGACGGAAGGAAACATAGTGTGATGTTTCTGTTATTATAAGAAGCTACCTTCCAGGAAGTCTCTGTGTTGCTCGGCCGTCATCAGGTTGCAGGGTTCCCTGGGAAACTGAGGGATGAATTTCGACCTCCCCTGTGAAGTTTAACAAAAGCTTTAGTATAGTGTTTGTTGGGACAGCTCATCCACACAGACACTCCGATCAGAGAGTGATGAACCGTTAACTTGGCTTTAATGATTAAACACACTCCAAATCCTCACAGTTTGTTTCTTCTTTAACAAGCTTGTCTCTGTCCGGTATCTGAAATAAATGTAACCGAATATTAATCAAAAGGGTGACCACCTTATTAAGTACGTATTAATTTCAACTTGAACTTAAAGGTGATGTTCCCTGAGAAATGTATCGTTCATGTTCTTTTAGATATTTGATCAGTCATGCTGAGTTTCACATGCAGGCTGAACGTGAAAATAGTCTTCAACCCCCATTTCCTGCATTAGCCACCAATAGGAAATAGACAGAAAAACTCGGGTCAAAAAAAGCCACTTGGTGAAAATCAAACCGGTTTGATTTTTTTTGCCTCACAGGGGGAAGAAACTCACTCTATGTTAGCTGCCTGTTGAGGTGAAATATTCTAGTGGCCAATCAAAGCGTATTCTACGTGCACATGATTCCAAGATGGCAGCCCCCTGTCTGCATGTCAGAAAAATAAACAAAACAGAGAGAGTTGAAAATGGAGGAAATGCTTCTACTTATTTTGTTGATGAGGCGCTGCCGCCACCATCATCAATGTGAAATTGGGTGAATTGGATCAAGGGTGCAAAAGGGGCGTGATCAACTTCTGCACTTGAGAATCGGGACTCCCACACATTGATCCACCCTGGCTGGAAATGCGCAATTGAAGGGCGCAAGTGTGGAAGTGCGATTATTGGGATTGGGCCTGAGTTTAGGTGAAGCCTACAGCAGATGGACCCAAATAAAAAATTTCACGTATCGGCAGCGAGCCTGGTATCCCAACAGCTGGAAACCTTGTTCAATTGTTGCAAAGACAACCGCCACACACTAGATGTCGCTTTGGTGTTCATGTTCCACATTCAACCTTTAATAAGCAATTAAAAAGTAATATCTAATATTAGCATAAAAATCTGCTTAATTTACTAAACTGTAATTAATGATCATTAAAGGCTCATTAAATCCACTTTCATCTCAAATGTGAACATGTATGAATGTAAAAGATTAATAGCTGATGCTTTCAGCTCAATTCATATGTCGTTCCCCCTTAGCTGTCCAACAAAGAGCCTGTTGTAAATGTTGCATACAGTTTATAACATTATAACAAGCAGCCACAGTAAGGGAACAAATGATATATATTATATGCAGATGAAACAGTGCTAATTTTAGGCCAACATTTGTAACGTTTCTTCAGGCAAACCCCCCCCCCCCCACACACACACACACACACACAGAGGTCAAAAGAACATGACTGTGCATCTTTTTGTTCTCATTTCCTCCTTTAAAAATATGTTTTGCAAATTACTCCAATGACTAAGCAGATCAAAAATGAGTCAAAAGGCTCCAGGAAAACAAGAATTTTCACAAGCTACCCTCTGGTCTGCTAAAGACACATGAGTTTCATTTCCTCTAAAAAACAGCTTTTCGTCCCAAACCACATGAAACAAATACTTTCTATAGATCATGTACTTCCTACCTAATCTCTAGGGTTGGGCATCGTTTGATTTTGAACAATTCCGATTCCAATTCCTCGTTTCGATTCCGGTTCCTATAGATTCCCGATTCCGATTCTTTGAAGACATGACATACTTTACATGAGCCAGCTAACCACAGGTCCTACTTGATGAAATAATCTTAACTTCAACATGAATTCTAATTCTATGAACAATAACATCACCTTCATTTAGACAGAAACATGATTTGGAGGAAAAAAAGGAAAAAGACTTGCAGCACAACCAGTGTGTTTGTTTCTGACCACAACCAAAGTCTGGAAGAAGCCTCTGGGATGAGAGGCTAAATGTCTCCAACATATCCAGAAACGTGCAGCTGTTTTCAGCTAAAACTCTCAGGATGATCATGTCCAGGATGACTGAGTACTACACCTCCATGCTGCAGCAGCATTCAGTCAGAACAGGAAGTGAAACTTAAATGTAGCTGCTGTCAGTAACAATCTAACAGATTTTAAACATTAAAACTCTCAACAGAACTAGTTCAAAAAGGAAATTAAAATGTTCACAACTTTGTGTGTGATTTATTATTATTATTATTATTATTATTTAATGTGGCAGAAGCTGGTGTGGTCCACCACAGAGAAGCTTCTCTAGCATGATGACTTTAATTATTCTACAGGTTATTGTTCAGCCTTCTGACGCTCACGTGTCTGACTGCTGATGCTCCGTGTGTTTTTATTTCTGCAGTAAGACAAACTCACCTCACACCGTCCAGAGTTTGTTCTTTAAAGCTTCTATGAAATCCACCGTGTTGACGTATTTAACAAGTTTCCTCTAAGCTGCAGGAATTAAAGTTTACATTACAGAGTAAAAGTTCGGCAGACACGTTTGTTTATATCCGGTGTTGGTACAGGATCTGCTCGGGTGCAAGATCTTTTTTTTTTTTTAACAATCTTTGACACATTTGCAGCAGACAAGACATAACATATTGACAAAACAACATCGATGTACAGGGTGTGAAACATTGACAAACAGAGAGAGTCGACGGACCCCGAGCCGATCTTGCACCGACACCGGGTGGGGTGGGGGGGTGGGGGCTCGGTGCTGCACACAGACGGCTGGTGTGATCAGCTCTGAAAAGCGTTGATCACAATTTGCAGATCACATTTATTTTTCATGGAGATCGGCCGCGGATTCCTCTTCCACCGGCATTCTGGAAATCGAAATTAAAAAAAAAAAACGTTGAGCGATTCCGGGAAAAATGAACAGTTTAACCGGTTCCAATCGATGCTCAATGCCCAACCCTACTAATCACTGATATTATGATACCCAAAAATCGCAGCAAAATAAATCAGCTTTATTTTATAACTCTGACTTATCAGACTGCAACCCCAGCACATGACTGTGGGATCATGAGGCAAAGGACGAGCTGAGGCAACTTTTCCAGCACTCAAGGTTTCCAGCAAACAAACACCTCCTCAAGCTGAACAAGTGCTTGGAATAATGATCCACACTTAGAGACGCATTAGTCCTTTACATGTTTCTCTTTTTAAAAATGACTGGAAACATTTAAAATCACTGATTAATTACAAAAATGAGAAGAAAAGCAGGAACAAATCGCTTATTTGAGGGAATGCATTGTGCTCTCTGCACCAATGAGAATATTTTTCTTTTAGGAAAACTAAACATTATTTTTGAGGTTTCCTCAAATAATTTCTACTCTTCAAAAAGAAGGAAAACTTTTCTATTTATAAAACAAGAATTCTGGCACATTTTTGTACTTTTCTATAAATATATTAATCATGATGATGTTGGAAGTAAAAATCAAAAGAAGAAATAAAACAGAGAGCAAGCCATCATTTTGTCAAATACTGCCACAAAACTGGGCCACAGAACCCTTAAATCCTCTCCGACTTACACCAAATACTTGTCATATGCTTTCATGTGATCACAGTCAGCAGACAGTGTTGCTAAAGACACTGGGTGGAAAAATGAATATTAAAAATCAAATTTGTTCTGCCAACAATGTCCTATTATTGTGCACCATTAGTGTTGCTTTTAAGTTAAACAACAACCCTAAACTAAAAACTTCACACACCAAAACTATGACTTCTGAAGTGACTCCAACTTGGAACAGGTAAAATACCACCGAAGGACCCCCTAAAGACTCCCACACTTCACTCTAAACATTAAAGTTATCTGATTATTCAGTTCAACATAATAATTTGTCTAATCTCACCTTGGAAGGCCTTAAAGGGCATTTGCTTGATTTGTTTAACAAATAAATCAATCCAGCCGATAAAGCCTTCGGGTTAGGCTTCGTTCATTCTACGGATGCTCCAATTTACTCACATGATCGGGAATCGGACCAGATCGAGCGATTTTCAAAAGACCGAAAACCGGTGGAAAAGACTGAATCAAAAAACTTTTATAAAACAACATGCAAGACCTCATAATTCATCCTGAGATGAACAACGCCATAACAATGGCTTAGTTTTGTTTGGAGAAGTTCCACTACATCAGTATTCATTGTTGCAAAGACGACATCAACATCGCACAGTTTAAGGCAGCAGGGGAATTCAGACACCATAATATTGAGTGGTTGGCTAGCAGGCTAATGCAGAGCTAACAGGAGAGTGAAAATGGCTGCCGGTTGGATGCAATTTAAACTGGGCAGTAAAGGCAGTGCAATAGACACTAGTGATGTGTGTATATTGGGTATTTCATTTGGTAGAAAAGGCTGAGCTACATTCAACTCTACAAATCTGATAGGACACTTTAAAAACAAACTCCTTTCTCTTTCAGTTTTCCCTTCAGGTGTCGCCACAGTGAATCACCTGTATGCATTTAGTTTTAGTCTGCCCTTTTAAAACAAACACTCAAAATATTGTTCAATACATCAAGGTGACAGTAACAACTCGGACAAAACACGCCGACACTGAAAGATACGTTAAAAAAGAAGGAGAAATTGCCTACAAACAGTAAAAAGATCACAGCAATGATAGGTTGTGGTTGCAAACGTTGAGTTTTGCAGTCTCCTGGAGCCGTGGTATGAGCTGCTTTCTTGTCACTAAACACGCAGCTTTCAGGTGACTTGAAGAAGAGAGTGAACCTGCAAACGTGTGGTACCTGCCCTGTCTTGGAAATGCACATCACTCATTACAGCCATATTGTTAATATTTATGTTTATTTATTTGGCAGACACTTTTATCCAAAGCGAGGTACAATTTATAACCTATAGGGCATGTTGTGATCTGTGGGGGAAACCGGAGTACCCGGAGGAAACCCACGCATGCATGGGGAGAACACGCAACTCCACGCAGAAAGGCC